CATTCTTGTCAAGAGGGACCAGAACTGGACACAGAATTCCAGGTGCCTCCCCTGGGCTGTATATATAGGATTCCACCTTTCATGCATGTGGGAGAACATGGTGGGAGATCTCTCAGTGAGCTTTCAGGAGAGATTTGGCTATATGTTGGTCCTGCTGGGACTGGGAATTGGAACCCATTTCAGAATGCAGTAAAACCTTAATCTGCAGCCTAATCTCTGGGTACTGCATCTGTGCAAAAATGGCAAAAACGACAGATGAAAGGGCTGTGAAGGGAGGGTTGGGACAGCAAAGGCCACTGCACAGAGGCAGCTAGTTTGCAGAGGAATGAGAAATCATTGCTGAGCCCTCCAGGATGTGCCAAGTTCTGGTGCTGGACTGACTGGAAAAGAAGACAGCAGGTGAGGGACCTGGTAGAGAGCAGGGAGGTGGGTCTTGGTCACCTGAGCAGTGTTCCCAAGGGCACAGAGCAAATGCTGTGGGCACCTGCTGAGATGCAAGGGAAATGTGTCAGGGTCAAGCTCACAACACAGGAACAGCCAGGAGCAGCTGTGAGAGCAGCAAAGCCACTGCAGCCCCCCAGGGCTCACACCTTCAAACCCCTCCCTGTGGGGCACAGCTCTGTGCCCTCCTTGATGCCCTGCTCCCTCCTCACGTGGAAGCTTCTTATCTCGCTCATCACTGCAGCCAGGCTGGGCTGGAGATGCTGATAAGCTCAGGCCATATTAGAAGGGGACAGGTTGAAAGGCAGGCACAAGCCCAGAGGAAATCTGCCAGCACAACCTCGTTCCAGCAGCAGCCGTGCTGCCAGCCAAAGGCTCAGCTCAAGGGCACAGCCAGGGCCAAGGTGAAAGCCTTTGCTGGCCGCAGGAACTGGAGGCAGGGCTGGATCACAGGCAGGAAAATCAAACCTCAGAAGTGGCAGCTTGCTGCTAAGCTGGACAAAACAGGCTAACCAGTTTCCCCTTGAGCTCTCCAACAGCACAAATAGCTCAGTTTTAGTGCTAATCACAGCATCCCACAGCAGGTCTGACTCAGACTCCGGGCTCTCAGCTTGGAGGCAGACCCACCCTGGTCCATGGGGAGCAGCAATGCCTCAGCAAGGGGAGCTGAGCAGCTCTAGGGGCCACCACAGCCCAGCAGGTCCCAGGTGCAGCAGGGAGGGACGGTCACAGCCAGGATCCTGCTGAGCAAGGCACAGAATGGCTGCATCCTCCCTCCAGCAAGGGCTGGGGCCTGGCTCAGCTTAGACACAGCAAGGACAGGGCTTCTCCCAGCCCTCCCTCACATCCCAGCTGGTTCCCCACCAGAAATCCCAGGAGGCACCAGCGGTGACCCATCCATGCTGCCCCACACAGCACAGAGCCTTGGTGTGTGACCTGGGGAGGCTGTGCTCCCTCACAGACCCTCCGAGAGCAGGGGCTCAGCTCCCACCATCACCTAGAAAAACTCATCTTCAAGGGATCCCAGAATGGGTTGGGGTGGAAGGGACCTTAAACCTCATCCCATTCCATCCCTGCCATGGCTGGGACCCCTTCCACCATCCCAGGGTGCTCCAAGCTGCATCCAGCCTGGCCTTGGGCACTGCCAGGGATGGGGCAGCCACAGCTGCTCTGGGCACCTGTGCCAGGGCCTGCCCACCCTCCCAGGGAACAATTCCTTCTCCAGTAGAGAGATATATAAACCTCCTCTCTGCCTTGTTGTATTACAGCTGGTGAGGCTGGCCATGGCTTCACCTCTCTGGAGGTGACAGCAGTGACTGATCACAGGGCTCTGCTGCCCTCACATGTTTTTTACCAACACCCAAATTTTCCAAGTCAGCCTTACACTAAGTGGCACTTTTCAAGTGCTGTGATTGTGTTCCAAGAAAGGCCCTTGCACTCACTCACACAGCTTTATTATTTTATCTTATTTTATTTTATTTTATTTTATTTTATTTTATTTTATTTTATTTTATTTTATTATTTCATTTCATTTCATTTCATTTCATGAAGTAAAAATCCTGCTTGAAAAGCAGCTGCTTTGAGGTGGCTGAGGAAAATGTCACTAAATGCACACCTGCCTCTGGGTAAAGTTTGGAATCCTGCAAAGCAAGGCAACAGCAGCTCAGCCTTCAGCAATGGTTGGATTTAAACTGGCTATTAATATTAATAGCAATATTAATGCTGCTTCTTTGAGCTGCACCTGGCACTGCCTCTGAGTCCCTTTCCTTTCCTTTTCCCAGTGCTCAGGGGGAGCAGTGTAACAGACACTGGGAATGTATGGAAATTAACTCAGAGAGCAGCAGCCCCACAGCCCAGAAGGCTTCACGGAGCTGCCTCGAGAGTATCACACACGTAACCCCCAGCACCACAGGCTTTAATTAAATTGTGCCAAGCCCCTGAAACCAACATTCCCCACAGTTGCTCAGCTGTGCCTGCAGTTCTGCAGGGCCTGTTTTCCAAGCTGTGAGTGCTGCAATCGGGGTTTCACTCACACGTTCAGCAGCTGGAGTGTGGCCCCAGCACAGCTCAGTGGGGCTCTGGGCTCACACCAGAGGTGCAACAGCCCCAGGTTGTGCCAGGGACTGGGTATTGAGAAGTTCTTCACTGAAAGGGTTGAGCACTGTGCCAAGGTCTGGATATTGAGGAGAAGTTCTTCACTGAAAGGGTCGAGTGTCACCCTGATATTTAAGATTTTCTAAGCTTTCTGGTGTTTACATTCTTGTAACGAACTTTCTCACACACCTCCTGTAAATAACTTGTTGTTTTGCATTCTTTTATGGAGGAGGAGAAATTTAATGGACTGTTGGTTTGTCCAGTGTCATTGCAGAGGTGGCACTTTCACCCTCCAATCCACTGTCACTTTTGGAAATCTATAAATGTTGGAGTCAGAAAAGAAACTTCCCTTTTTCCACCTTAAAGCAGCGGTGTGTGCGCTTGTGCTGTTTCATGTCCTATAGTGACAGTCGAGCACTGTGCCAGGGTGCCCAGGCTGTGCTGGAGTCACCGTCCCTGAAGTGTTCCAAACACCTCTGGGTGTGGCTTGTGGGAGCTGCCAGCTTTTTAATCATTTTTTGGATTGGCAGGGCTATGTTGTTGGGTGGATTGGATGATCACAGAATCATCTGGGTTGGAAAAGAACTCTGAAGTAATTTTTGTTCTTTCCTTATGCTTTTATTTCTGGGAGGGTATGTGGAAATTCCGTTCAGCAGCTGAGGAGGGCCCATCAGAGGGACTCCCACAGGCACTGAGATAGGTGAAAAACATCAATGTTTGTTCAGTAATCACTTTGCTACCTTTAATATCCTTTACTACTAGTATTGCTTCAAAAATATTGCACTCCTCTAGTGGCTAGGGCTACCTACACTATGTGATAAAGAATTCTGAATGAGCTCTTTTAGCATAGTCCTTTCAATTATTAATTATTTTATTTATAGAAATATTTTTGGGTTGCCATCCTTAATCCTGAAGGACAAAGTCATATAAAGGCTCAGTTGCACAGCTTCAGACATAAACTACTGGCCAAGCCTGGGACTGGACCAGACTCCTGACAGAGGAACAGCCCAGGGAAACTGCAGAGCTTGGGACCTCCATCCATGCTGCCCCCAGGGGCGACACAGTGGCTGGGTCCTGGGAGCCCTTACGAAGCTTAGGGGCGGCCATGAGCTCTGTCAGCCTGGCCCGGAGGTGCGGGTGCCCGGCAGGGCCGGTACCGAGCTGAACCCAGGCAGCGCCTCAAGAAGCAACCCCGTCCCCCCAAGATGGCGCCGGCCGGCCGGCGTGAGGGAGCGGGAGCAGTCACGTGACTCCACTCCAGCAAATCAGCGCCAGGTGCCGCCTCCGTGGCGGGAAGGGACGCGCGGGAGGAGTCACTGCCCCATGACAGCCAATCAGCGGCGGAGGAGTCACGTGCCTCCCCGCCAGCCAATCAGCGGCGGGCGGCGGCGGCGCCAAGATGGCGGACGATAAGGTGAGCGGGCCGGGCCGGGGCTGAGGGGCCGCTGGGGCTGCGGGGAGGCCGCGCCGGTTCCTCCCGCGGGACGGGGGGCGGGAATCACCTCCGTGTCTCCCGCAGGACTCGCTGCCTAAGCTGAAGGACCTCGCCTTCCTGAAGGGGCAGCTGGAGAGCCTGCAGCGCAGGGTGGAGGACGAGGTGCAGGCCGGCGTGGGGCAGGTAATGTGCGGGCTGAGGGCGGGCCCGCCGCGCCCTGTGAGAGGGACTGGTGGGGGGAAAAACAAATCCCAGGGTAAAAACTCACCCCTGGGGCATGTCCTGTGTCGCCCCCTCCCCGGTGCCTCACTGCGCTCTCCCCTCAGGACGGATCGCTGCTGGCGTCGCCCTTGCTCAAAGGTTTCCTGGCGGGATACCTGGTGGCCAAGCTCCGCTTCTCCGCCGTCCTGGGCTTCGTGGCCGGCACCTGCACCGGGATTTACGCCGCCCAGAATTATGCCGTGCCCAACGTTGAGAAGACGATTCGGGACTATGTGAATTCACTGAAAAGAGGTCGGGACTAGCGAGGAGGAGCCCGGAGGCAGCAGGGACTGCAGGAACCGTGCTCCTTAGGTAGCAGGCACAGAGCACCCCTAGGGCTCTGGGAGGCACACAACCTGCACCCTTCTTTTCCCTGGAAAGGCTTTTGCACCACACCACTGCCACACGTCAGGGGGCTGGTGATGGGTGTTTGTTGGGCACCATGGCAGCAGTGATCACTGCACTAACCCACAGCAGCTTGAGAGCACTGAGGGGCTGCCAGCTGCCTTTTCCCCTTAGCTTTCCCTGTGGACTGAGGGGCTGCTGTGCCTGGTCACCCGTGTGCCCTGTGCTTTGTGTGGCTTCTCAGGAAGGCCTGTAGTTCTCCTCCTAACCAGAGACAGCACCCTGCTCACCTGCTGCATCACCAGAGTTGCAGGGAACATCCTGCTTGAATCAGGCTCATTAAATTCTCGGTATTTGATCTGTTCCATGTTGCAGGGTGAGAGTCTGTGTGGCCTCTCTGCTGGCAGCTGCTCACTCCCCGCCTCCCACCCGACATGGGGGTGTTTGGGAATGCTGCTGGCTCTGCCGACAGGCTGCTCCACAGGGGGCTGTGGGCTCTGCTGCTGCTGCTCTCTGTGGCCATCTACGGCTCCCACGCCCCCCTGCTGACCCTGTGCAAGGTGGATGGGGCCATCCCCTTCAGCTCCACGTCCGTGGTGGTGCTGGTGGAGCTGACCAAGCTGTTGCTGTCGGTGCTGTCGCTGCTGCCGGGGCCGCGGGAGCCGCTGCCGGCGGCGCTGTCCTGGCGCCACGCCGCGCCCTTCGCCCTCTCCGCCCTGCTCTACGCCGCCAACAACAACCTGGTGGTGCACATGCAGCTCTTCATGGACCCCAGCACCTTCCAGGTGCTCAGTAACCTGAAGATTGTCAGCACGGCGCTGCTCTACAGCCTCCTCTTGCGGCGGCGCCTGGGCCCGCGCCGCTGGCTGGCCCTGCTGCTGCTGCTGGCCGCCGGTGTCACCTACAGCTGCGGGGGGCTGCGGGGACACGGGGACGCCGCAGGGACACGCCTGCACGTCACCCCCGTGGGGCTGCTGCTGCTCTCCGTGTACTGCCTCATCTCGGGCCTCTCCGCTGTGTACACTGAAGCCATCCTGAAAAGCCAGGCGCTGCCCCTCGGCCTGCAGAACGTCTTCCTGTACTTCTTTGGGGTGCTGCTCAACCTGATGGGATCCCTGTGGACTGGCATGGAGGGTGGGTTCCTGGAGGGCTTCTCCCTGTGGGTGCTGCTGGTTGTGTTCAGCCAGGCTCTGAATGGCCTCATCATGTCCGTGGTGATGAAGCACAGCAGCAACATCACCAGGCTCTTCATCATCTCCTGCTCCATCCTGGTCAATGCTCTCCTCTCTGTTGCCCTCTTCAACCTGCAGCTCACCCTCCTCTTCTTCGTGGCTGTGGCATGCATTGGCCTGGCTGTGCACCTGTACTATGGAGTCACATAGTCACTGCCTTCCTCCCACGTGTCTGGGCAGCCCCAGCCCTTCCTCAGGGCTGGAATCATTCCTGGTGCACAGCTCCAAGGATCCCCCAAGGAGGGCTGAGGGGGAGAGCACCCCGCCCCTGCTTCCACAGGGAAACTGCCCTGCTCCAGTCCAGCCAGGCTCTGTGCCATGGGGCTCCCGTGGCATCAGGCATGCCCAGCCTTAGGGGGGTCCTGAACCCCTTGTGCCAGGGAAGGTTCAGGTTGGACCTTAGAAGTGATTTCTTCACAGAAGGGGTGATGAATCATTGGAAGGGGCTGCCCAGTGAGGTGGTGCAGTCACCATCACTGCAGGTGTTTAAGGACTGGGCCTGGCACTTAATGCCATGGTCTAGGTGACAGGTCTAGGTGATGTTGGGTTACAGGTTTGACTCCATGATCCCAGAGGTCTTTTCCCACATAAATGACTTTGGGACTCTGTGTCCCTTGTCCTCAAGCTGCTTCCCCACACCACAGTGGCCTGGGAATGCCCTGGCAGTGCCTCCTGCCAGCCCAGCATGGCACTGGTGCTGTTTCAGCTCCCATGGATGCTGCTCGATCCCTGCCATTCCTAGTGCTGCTTCCCTGGGCTCTCCCACCTCCACGGTTTTCCAGGCTGGCCTGCCTGGAGCCCTGCTGTCCTCAGGCCCCATTACCCCTTCCTGGCACAGTGTCTGCAGAACAGCCAGGGACTGGGGCATGTGGGAACCTTCACCTGTTCCCCAAAAGGGGGATGCCCCAAAATTTGTACCGAGTTCCTGGCAGGCAGAGGCCACCCAGGGTATTAAAGCTGCGGTTCAATAGTGTCCGTGTGTCTGTCCTGTGTCTGCCCGCCCTGAGGGATGGTGGCCGTGCCCCTGGGGCAGGTTTGGGGACCAGGGTGTGTCTGAGCCTGACAACACTCACAGCTGAGGAGCACCCACTTTATTCAGTGTGGAGAATAAAGCCTGCCTCCCAGCAGGCTGAGCTGTGCTCCCGCAGGCAGGTTCCCAGCACAGAGCAGGCTTTCCCTCGGGAGCACAGCCAGGGGTCTGGTATAACTCCTGTGCCTGGGGCTGCCCGGTATCCTGGCATGGCTCGGTGCAGGGACCCAGTGCTGCCAGGCCAGCTGTCCCCACGCCCGGCCGTGCCTCAGGGTGTCTGTGAGGTGGCACCGGCCGTGCCTGCCCGTGGGGTGTCCCTCAGTCGCTGCTTGTGCTCGGTGAGTTCCCGCAGCACCTCCTGCAGCCGCTCCCGGTGCCGGCGCTCCAGGCCCGCCCGCTGCTCCTCCGCCAGGCGCTGCTGGTCCCGGAGCACCTGCGGGTGCCCGGGGCGGTCTGGCACAGGCCTGGCACAGCCCTGCACGGCCGGGAGAGGTGTCCCCAGCCCGGCCTGCCCACCTGCAGCAGGTGCTGTCGGCAGCCCTGCATCTCCCGGTGGTGGTTGAGCAGCAGAGCCTCCAGCTCCCACTCGGCCGCCTCCCGCTCCCGCAGCGCTGCCTCCAGGCTCAGACCCAGCGCGGCCACCTCCCGTTGCCAGCGCTCTGGGTCCCGCTGCGGGGACAGGGACACGGTCAGGGCAGCTCCGGGGTGTCCCTGCTCCCTTGGGCTGCACTAGGAGCTCGCAGTGCTGGGCTCTGCCTGTGCTCACCTCCCCGCTGTGCTCCCGGGCTGGCACAGAGCCGGCCCCGAGCTCCCGCTGGCGCTGCCGGCAGTGCTGAGCCCGCAGCCGCTGCCGGCGTGCCCTGGCCAGGGCCCGCTGCACCTCCGGGGGTGGGCACGGCTGGCACCGCCTCCCTGCCTGCAGGAGAGCAGAGGGGCTCGGTGGCACCAGTGCTGGCAGCAGAGCTGGCCCTGTGCAGGGACCCCGCGGGCTCCCACTCACGCTGTCACACCCGGGCCGTGGCTGTGACACTTTGCTCTGGGATGGCTCCTCCAGCAGCCCTGCGCTGGCCAGAGCTCGGCTGTCCCCTCCCTGGCTTCTGCTGCCGCCCTGTCCTGCCGTGTGGGGACAGGGGAGGAGGATGAGTGTGACATGGGAAGCTGATGAAGGACGTTCAGATGGAGAGTGAGGCCTTTCCCACCGTGTCCAGCCATGCTCTGTGCCCACATGTCCTCCACCCATCTGCGGGATGCGTGCCTGGCCCCATGCTCCGGCTCTGCTGGCTCCAGGGGTGTCTGACTCCCAGGCTGCTGGCCTGGAGCTGCATTCCCTGCAGAGACCTGCTCCTGGCAGAGAAGGAGACATTACAGGGACACAGCTGGGATTTAGGGCTTTTCCTGCACCAGACTGTCCCTGGCTAAGGGGGCCTGGCCTGATCTCTGCCCACCTCAGCGCTGGGCTGGTGCATCTCACGTGTCCCAAGCATCTTGGCCCGCTTTTTCTCCCACCTCTGGCTCTTCAGCACCTGGAAAAGGGGAACTTATTGGGGTGTTTCAAACCTCCAAGGCCTGGTGTGGCTCCAGGGATGCATCTCACCCTCACCCTGCCCTCAGTGCTGGACAAGGGCCTTGACCCCAGGATGGGTCAGGAGCCTGCACCTTACCCAGCCCAGGGAACGAGTGCCATGCCAGTCCCGTGGATCCAGGGGCAATCCCCACCTGCAGCTCCCTCAGGGCTCTCCTCAGCTGGGCCACAGCTGCTCTGTGCTCGGGGTGGCCAGGCCCAGCCAGCAGCTCCACGCGCAGCGCTCGGATCTCCCTGCGGCGCGCCCCAATCTCCTCCTCAGGGGCCCAGAGCGTGGCAGAGATGGTCTTGGCCAGCCCCTTCACCCTCTGAGCCAGTCCCAGAGCTCCCAGGATCTCCTCTCTGGAGGTGTCTGGGAGAACAGCGAGCCCTGGGCAGGGGCCATGGGGCTTCCAGCACAGGGGGTGCCATGGAGATGAGTGGAGCTGTGTCAGCTTCCAGTGACTGCAGGTGTCCCCGGGCACCAGCAGGGGTGTGTGCCAGTGTGAGGCAGGATGGGGGGGAATCCTCGGGGAGGGGGCACCCAGAGAGTGTCCCAGTCCCAGGGGTTACCTGGCAGTGACACACACAGCAGCAGGAAGGTCAGGCTGTTCCCCTCCAGCAGCCGCTCCACGATCCAGGGCAGGCAGACAGCTCCAGGTTCCCTGCACGTGGGGAGACACCCCAGGAGAGAGCTGGCTCTTACCAGGCCAGGCAGGGACCCAAGGATGGGGTGGCCCCACATATCCCCAAGGAGCAGTGACACCCCCTTGGCTCCCAGCCAGGGCTCCCACTGGGGTGTCCCCCTGCTTCACCTGCAGGGATGGAATTCCCTGGCCCTCAGCAGGCACAGGGAGTGCTGGAGGGGGAGCAGAGCTCAGCCCTGTACGTACGGCCTGGGGCAGGGCCCGCCGGCCCCTGGGGACAGCAGGATCCTGAGGGCCGAGCGCTGGCGCCTGCCCCCCCCCAGCTCCCGCTCCACGGTGAGAGTGAAGAGGCTGCCAGCCCTGGGGAGGGAGGCTGTGTGAGGGGTGGGACTGGGGCTGTGTGAGGGGTGGCACTGGGGCTGTGTGAGGGGTGGCACTGGGGCTGTGTGAGGGGTGGCACTGGGGCTGCAGCAGAGCCAGCCCAGCACCCCATGGCCCAGCCCTTCCCAGCCTGTGGGATCTGCCCCAAATCCTCACCCCTGCACAGCTGAATGTCCATCTGTAGGGGAATGCTGAGCACACCCCTGGAACAGGGCTGGCAGGGCACCCAGCCCCCTGGCATAGGCACTGATGGCAGCCTGGGCATCGGGCACGGCCACTTCTGTCACCTCCTCCACCATCCTGGAAGCAGAGGGAGACAGGACCAAGCAGGGAGGGTCACACCCACACCCTGCACTCTCTGAGGAGCATCCCTGCCATGCTGAGGCTGGCACCGTGCTCCCTGCCCAGCCCCCAGGAGCCATGCCCAGCCCTGGTACCTACAGGCCCAGGGGTGCCACATCCAGCACCTGCAGGGCTCGGCCATCGGGATGGAGCAGGTCCCAGGCTTTGTCCTGGCTGCTGACCTGGAATGAGGGGGCTGCATCAGGCAGGGGCAGGAAAAGGGGCTGCTGGCACCCCACACTCACCAGGGGCCCAGAGTGCTTGTGGCCATGCCCAGGTGAGGGTTGAGAAAGCTCATTTTGGGGTAACTCCCAGCTTTCCCTGGCACCAGGGAAGGGCAGAGCCCTGGGAACACCCGAGCTGTGTGTGGAGCTTATCAGGCCCTGGCAGCATCCCAGAGCCAAAGGGCAGGAGCCAGCCCAGGGCCAGGAGCTAGCATCACTGCTGTGCCAGTCAAGGCCACACTGGAGCAGTGACTGGCCCGGGGAGCCCAGCTGTGGGGGGAGCAGGAAGGGGTTACAGGGTGATCCTGGTCCCACCATGCTGCTGGAGCCCAGGAGCTGCTCTGTGGGCAGTCCTGGAAAGAGGTGAGAACACCTGGGATCCAAAGGTCCCCAGTCCCTGGTCACCCTCTGGATGAGGGCACTGCATGCCAGCACAGGGCAAGATGTGCTCATGGCACAGCAGGGGCTGGGCAGTGGCACAGAGGGAATGGGGCCCTCATGCCAGGCCATCCTGCCCTGCTCCTGCCCTACCTGGACCAGGCTGACCATCTGCAGGCTCTGAGTGTCGTCCCCCAAGGCCTCCAGCTCCTGGAAGACGGTGTCAATCACCTGTGGACAAGCTGGGAGCTGCTGTTCCCAGACCCATGGCTGCATCCCAGCCCTGCCCTGGGGACATTGGGCTCTGCTGGGTGACCCAGGAGCCCAGCACTGCACAGCTGTGCTGTCCCCTGTCCCTGCCAGCTGTCCCTGTGCCCTCACCTGCCAGATGACACTCTGGAAGGGCAGCTGTGTCCCAGGGCCACGGGGGTCCCACAGCAGCAGGGACACGCTGTAGCCAAGGGGAACCAGGGCTAGCTGGGGCCTGGCCAGCTCCAGAACCTTCTCCTGTAGGACAGACACAGCCAGCATGGCACAGACTGGCACAGCATGGCACAGACTGGCACAGCATGGCACAGCCACAGCACAGCATGGTAC